TATGGCCAATCAGGTAGATAAAGAAAATCTCATTGTTTTAATTTGCATCTCTGATCGTAGGGTTGAAACTTTCAGTTTTCTTTTGTTCATATACCTTATGTATTCTTCTATTGATTTTGTTCTATATTTCTTACTAATTTATAAATTTGTAATCTTTTATGGTAATTTGTGTTTTCTCTCTTTTTTTTTTTTTTTTTGAGATGGAGTTTCCCTCTTGTTGCCCGGGCTGGAGTAGAGTGCAATGGCATGATCTTGGCTCACTGGAAACCTCCACCTCCCGGGTTCAAGCAGTTCTCCTGCCTTAGCCTCCCGAGTAGCTGGGATTACAGGCATGCACCAACACACCTGGCTAGTTTTGTATTTTTAGTAGAGACAGGGTTTCTCCATATTGGTCAGGCTGATCTCAAACTCCTGACCTCAGGTGATCCACTTGCCTCAGCCTCCCAAGGTGCTGGGATTACAGGCATGAGCCACAGGCATGTTTATTGGCCATGTTACTGTCATCTTTTGTGAAATGACTGTTCAGATCTTTTCTTCCATTTTTCTATTAGGTTGTCTTGCTTGTATTGATTTTAGAAGTATTTTATATATTCTGGTTATAGTCCCTTTAGAAGTTTGATATATTGTCAATATTTTCTTCTCTCTGATTTGCTTTTTTTGCATAGCTGTCTCTTTTGATTAATTGACGTTTTTAAGGTGGTACAGTTTATTTCAGTCTTCTTTATGGTTAATCCTTTTGTGTCTTGCTTTAAAAAAAACCTTTGCTTGTGAAAATAGTTATCTGTTATCTTCTAGAAGTTCTGTTGTTTTTACTCATCACATTTTAACCTACAATTTATCTGGAATTGATTTTCACATATCGTGTGAAAGTGAAGTCAAGTTTTTCCCATATTTAAACCCTTTTAATCAGCACAGCTTATTGAGACTGTCCTTTCCTCACTTCTCAGCTGTGAAACTTTTATTTATTTATTTATTTTGAGACAGAGTCCTCTGTTGCCCAGGCTGGAGTGCATTGGTACGATCTTGGCTCACAGCAACCTCCACCTCCTGGGTTCAAGCAATTCTTCTGTCTCAGCCTCCCGAGTAGCTGGGACTACAGGCACCTGCTGCCACGCCCAGCTAATTTTTGTATTTTTAGTAGAGACGGAGTTTCACCATATTGGTCAAGCTGGTCTCAAACTCCTGACCTCGGGGCGATCTACCTGCCTCAGCCTCCCAAAGTGGTGGGATTATAGGCATGAGCCACCGTGCCTGGCTGGCTGTGAAACTTTTAAAAAACAGGTATCCTTGTTTGTGGGTCTGTGTCTAGACTGTAATTTTTTTCTATTGGTCTTTCAATTTATTATTATTATTTTTTTTTTTTTTTGAGACAGAGTCTTGGACCTTCACCCGGGCTGCAGTGCAGTGGTGTAATCTCAGCTCACTGTAACCTCCGCCTCTTGAGTTCAAGTGATTCTCCTGCCTCAGCCTCCTGAGTAGCTAGGATTACAGGTGTGCGCCACCACGCTCAGCTAATTTTTGTATTTTTAGTAGAGACAGGGTTTCACCTCGTTGGTCAGGCTGGTCTCGAACTCCTGACCTCGTGATCTGCTCACGTTGGCCTCTCAAAGTGCTGGGATTACAGGCGTCAATTTATTCTTTCACCAATACCACATTGTCTTAAATTACTCTACAATAAATTCTTATATCCACTGTTAATTTTTTATTGCTTCATTATAAGTTATCGCAAATTTTGCCACAAAACAAATTTATTACCTCAGGGTTCTATGCCTCAGGAGTCTGGAAATGGGTTAGTTAGGTCCTGCGCTCAGGCATAAGGCTGCAACCAAGATACTGCCTGAGACACCTAATCTTAATGGAGGCCCAGAGGCCCCCTGCTGCATGCACATGTGGCAGTGTTCATTTCCCATAAATGGGAACCCATAATGGTTTGCTTCTTCTCAGAGACCAGTAAGAACTTTTCTCTGATACTTGACCTTCTTCTTAAGGACTCACCTGATTAGGTAAGGTCCACCAAGACAATTTTTCTTTTGATCAACTCAAAATAAACTGATTGACGTATCTTATTTATAACTACAAAGTCCATTTGCCATATAATGGAGCCACAAGTCTTTCCTACACTAAAGGGAGGAGATTATATAAAGATGTAGGTCATTGAGGGTCATCTTAGAATTCTGCCAATCACAATTAGTGTGAGTTCACATACTCTTGTTCTTCTCTAAGACTGCCTCGGCCATTCATGGTGGTTTTAAAAAAATTATTTTAAATTTAAAACATTTTGCCTCCATTCTTTTTTTTTTTTTTTTTGAGACAGAGTCTCGCTCTGTCGCCTAGGCTGGAGTGCAGTGGTACAATCTCAGCTCACTGGAGCCTCTGCCTCCCAGGTTCAAGCGATTCTCCTGCCTCAGCCTCCTGAGTAGCTGGGGTTACAGGTACGCACCACTACACCCGAGTAGAGACGGGGTTTCACCTTGTTAACCAGGATAGTCTCTATCTCCTGACCTCATGATCTGCCTGCCTCTGCCTCCCAAAGTGCTAGGATTACAGGCGTGAACCACCACACCTGGCCTTTTGCACCTCCATTTTATGGTAATGAGAACATTCTTGGTTCATTGAATTTTTTTTTTTTTTTGAAGATGGAGTCTCGCTCTGTTGCCAGAGGCTGGAGTGCAGTGGCATGATCTTGATTCAGTGCAACACCCACCTCCTGGGGTCAAGGGATTTTCCTGCCTCAGCCTCCTGAGTAGCTGGGACTACAGGTATATGCCACCACCCCCAGCTAATCTTTGTATTTTTAGTAGAAGCAGGGTTTCACCATGCTGGCCAGGATGGTATCGATCTCTTGACCTCATGATCTGCCTGCCTCGGCCTCCCAAAGTGCTGGGATAACAGGTGTGAGCCACTGTACCCAGTCGCTTCTTTGAATTTCTATATATAAGCTTGATAATCAACTTGTCAAGTTTCCACAAAAATATTTGCTAAGCTTTTGATTAAGATTATCTTAACTTTATAGGCCAATTTAGGGAGAATTGAGAATTTTGTAATAATCGTGTTGTCCAATCCATGAATATAATTTGTCCTTTTATTTTTAAAGATATTCTTTGTTTTTTAAAATATATTCTTTTGTTTTAATTTAGAATACTTTATAGTTTTCTATGTAATCATCTTAGAAATATTTTGTTTTATTCATGTTTTTGATGGCACTGTAGATGATACTTTAAAACAGTAAGTTGCTGGTATATAGAAATCCACTTGATTTTTTTTTTTTTGAGACTGAGTTTCACTATTGTTGCCCAGGCTGGAGTACAGTGGCAAAATCTCCACTCACCTCAACCTCCACCCCCAGGTTCAAGTGATTCTCTTGCCTCAGCCTTCCAACTAGCTGGGATTACAGGCATGTGCCACCATGCCCAGCTAATTTTGTATTTTTAGTAGAGATGGGTTTTCTCTATGTTGGTCAGGCTGGTCTCAAACTCCTGACCTCAGGTGATATGCCCGCCTTGGCCTTCTAAAGTGCTGGGTTTACAAGTGTGAGTCACCATGCCTGGCCGAAATCCACTTGATTTTTATACATTGATCTTGTATCCAAACACTTACTGAACTCACTTACAATATTTTGTAGATTCCCTTGCATGTTCATGCAGAATTATGACATCTACAGATATTGACAGCTTTATTTTCTTCTAATTTTTATAACTTTTTATATTCTTTTCTTGCCTTATTCCACTCACTTTTATACTCTGATTTATTGTTTTCCCTATTTTCCAGTTCTCAGTGTATGCCATGAGCATTACCAGCTTTTTGTGTTGCTAACCTAGGAATGGTACTTCTTTTTCTCTGCTCGTTTATGTCTACTTGTTGGCTCTCCACTACTCACAGCAGTCATCTCTTAGCTGGATGAGACAGTCCACTGGATTAAAGAAAATATTCAAATGCCTACCTACATATATTATAATTAAGAAAAATAGTGAAATTTAATACATAGATTAGCAATATGAGTTTATAAATTATAAATAAATAAGAAGGTTACCCAGGTTAGCGCCAGGTGTGGTGGTTCATGCCTATAATGCTGGCTCTTTGGGAGGCTGAGGTGGGTGGATCACCTGAGGTTGGGAGTTTGAGACCAGCCTGACCATTATGGAGAAACCCAATCTCTACTGAAAATACCAAATTAGCCGGGCGTGGTGGTACATACCTGTAATCCCAGCTACTCAGGAGGCTGAGGCAGGAGAATCACTTGAACCCAGGAGGCAGAGGTTGCAGTGAGCCGAAATTGTGCCATTGCACTGCAGCCTGGGCAGCAAGAGTGAAACTTCATTTCAAAAAACAAAACAGAAGGTTATCCAGGATTGAAAAATGGCCAGATATTTTCGATACCCCTAATTCTATAGGAGCAAATCCAAAATTACTCGGTAACATTCCTGAATACCTCTATAGCTCTTTATCTTATCAGAGTTCCAAATAATACTCTTATGTGCTAATTGTCATTCCTTTAACTACATATGATAGCTGTATCCATTCTTACTCTGTTGTCTGGTTCATGAATAACACTCTAGTTGTTTAAGAATGAAAACCTTTACCTCCTCAATGAAACCCAACCAAATAGCAGAAATAGAACATTTCTTCCCCTTTGTAAGCTTAGATATCTTTTCACTATAGTACCTGTAACATCTTATTGTAGTTATGTGATTATATGTTTGCATCTGTTCATCAGATTATATTTTCCTTGAAAACAGTAATGTTGTTTTAGTTGCCTTCAAATTCCCCCAAAGTAGAATTCTTTGTGACACAGGCACATGTTGGGACACCAATAACTTATCATGGTGGTGAGGAATATCTATTATGATTTCTCCCTCTCCAACCAAGTACAGTACCAAAGTAGACATCCCATAACACATTTTATGATTAACTGTGAATAGTGAACATTGTAATAGTTCTCATACAGCATTTACGTCTTTAAATTCTGATCACTTAAATTTGAATGTAATGTACTGTTTCAGGAATCCTTGTCATTTGAGGATGTTACTATGGGCTTCACCCAGGAGGAGTGGCAGCATCTGGACCCTGCTCAGAGGACCCTGTACAAGGATGTGATGCTAGAGAACTACAGCCCTGTCGTCTCAGTAGGTAGGTAGGAACTCTTTTTCATGTAAACTCTTAGTATGTACATCTTTTCTTAGTTGCTGAAACTTGTGGAAATTTTGTTGAGGTTCATGACATTGAACTTGAGATTCAGGGTATTAAGCAGAAGAACTGTTTAGGGTTCTATAATGTTGCTGTTGTCTTACTTTTTCCACACATGGTTGAAATTGGCTTCTGAAGTTTCATTTTCTCCCTCCTTCAGAGGCTCTGAAGTCCATTAGCCTCACCCAGTTTCCATGTCATTTTCCCATTCACAGGATATTACATCCCTAAACCAGGAGTGATCGTCAAATTGGAACAAGGAGAGCATCCATGGATATTAGAGGAAGAGCTCCCAGGCCACAAATACCCAGTGAGTTAGCATATATTAAGCAGAAAGGATACCAGTGACATGGTATGAATTCTTCTAATTCTCAAGAGTTTGCTTGGCCAGACATGGTGGCTTATGCCTGTAATCCCAGCCCTTTGGGAGGCCGAGGAAGGTGGATCACCTGAGGTCAGGAGTTTGAGACCAGCCTCGCCAACATGGTGAAACCCTGTCTCTACAGAATTACAAAAATTAGCCGGGCATGATGGCGGGTGCCTGTAATACCAGCTATTCGGGAGGCTGAGGCTGGAGAATTGCTTGAACCGGGGAGGCAGAGGTTGCAGTGAGCTAAGATCACACTACTGCACTCCAGCCTGGGCAACACTGTGAGACTCTGTCTCAAAGAAAAAGAAGAGTTTGCTCGTATGTTCATTCCTACTATGTGTCACTCAAGTTTTAGGTGTTGGAAATAGAGTAGTGAACTGAATTTTATCCATGACCTCATGGAGCTTACCTTCTGATTGGGAGAAAAAGATAAGGAACAAAAAATGACAGCACGACCACACATGCACAAATATGCCAAGTAGGCATGTAAAACCGTAAGGAAATTAAAGAAGGTTAAGAGTGATGGAGTATTAAACTTCAGAAAGGAGAATCGGGAAGGGTGTTTGGATGCTGTGAACTTTAATGATACAAGGTTGGGAGTTGTGGGGAGTCTTGATAGCAGGAGAAGCTTCAAGTTCAGGGCACTGTGATGCAAGTGTGTGTGGTTTTTGAGGACACACAAATATCAGTGTAGATTGACAGGAATGAGTGAGGCAATAGTGGTGTGAATTGAAACTGGAGCGGTAATGGGAGCCCAAATTATATAGGGCCATATGGGTGATGATAAGGACTATGATTTTTTTTTTTGAAATGGAGTCTCTCTCTGTTGCCAGGCTGTGTAGTGCAGTGGCGTGATCTCGGCTCACTGCAACCTCTGCCTCCTGGTATCAAGCAATTCTGCCTCAGCCTCCCAAGTAGGTGGGACTACAGGTGTGCACCACCATGCCCAGCTAATCTTGGTATTTTTAGTAAAAATGGGATTTCACCACATTGGCCAGGATGGTCTCGATCTCTTGACCTTGTAATCCGCCCGCCTCAGCCTCCCAAAGTGCTGGGATTACAGGCATGAGCCACCATGCCTGGCAGGACTATAATTTTATTCTGCGTGAAATGAGAAGCCATTGGTATGATTTGATCCAATAAGGTACATTTGCTGATTTCTCTTTTAAATGGATCTCTCTGGCTGTTAAACAAAGAAAATTCCACTGGAGACAGAGGGGTAAAAGCAAGAACATGAGTCAGGAGAGTATTTTAATCTGCAAAAAGGCAGTAGTAGCTTACACTTCAGAGTGGTGGTGATTATTAAAAGTGGTTGGCTTTTTGATATATTTTTAATGTGGGACCTGTGGCATTTGCTATTGAGTGGGATATGGAACATGAAAGAAAGAAAAGAGTCAAGAGTGACTCCAAAGATTTCACCAAGAGCAGTTGGATAAATGGGTACCAGTTGAGGGATATTGAGGAGAAACAGTTTTGGAGAGATTTTTAGGAGTTTAGTTTGCACACAAAGTTTCAGGTGATTATAAAATATCCAGGTTTACATGACAAATAAGCATTTGGGTATATAAGCAGGTAGTTCAGGGCAAGTCTAGGTGGAAGATATTTATTTGGAAATTATCAGCTTATGGCAGTAGTTAACCGTTTTTTAAGTTTAGTTTTTAAAGCTGAGGGATTAGATGACCTCTCTTCTGGGGTAGGACTGGAGCGTGTCCCCTGGGTAACTACCTTTCTGTGGTCACCTGAAATATATTCCTAGTAAAGTTACTAGATTTCAAAGATTAAAGAATCATTTTCATAGCCAGTTAATATAAGAAGAGTCCAGCTGATATCAGACTTTTGTATTAACAAAATTTGCAATACAAAACTGCAAAAAGGGGTGGGGCTCAGTGGCTTATGGCTGTAATCCCAGCACTTTGGGTGGCTGAGGAGGATCACCTGAGGTTGGGTGTTCGAGACCAGTCTGATCAACATGGAGAAACCCTGTCTCTACTAAAACTACAAAATTAGCTGGGCATGGTGGTACATGTCTGTAATCCCAGCTACTCAGGAGGCTGGGGCAGGAGAATCACTTGAACTCGGGAGTGGAGGTTGTGGTGAGCAAAGATCGTGCCATTGTACTCTAGCCTAAGCAACAAGAGTGAAGCTCTGTCTCAAAAACAAACAAAAAAAACTGCGAAAAGTCAGTATAGCAATTGCTACAAAATTCTTAGGGTGGGTCAAATTAAGAACTTTTTACCAGGTTAAAGAGTGATCCTTTAACAAAAAAGAGGAAACCATTTTTTGAATAATCAAGAATTCTGGGCCCTTGGTCCCTAAGACCTTTTATGAGAGGATGAATATTATATAACCAAGAGGTGACACAAAAAGCATGGTAAAAAGATTGTTAGTAGGCTCTGAATTTAATTGAGGAACTAATTCTAAAGCAAATGTAGGATTAGGTGACAGATGAGAATGTGTTATTGAAAACCTGGGCATTATAGACTGTATTCAGTTTGATTAAAGGAAGGCTAAAAGTGGGAAGAATGATAGTATTCTTATAAAGTGAATTCTGTTAAAATACAGTATATACATTTTTTAAAATCACTGATCTTTTGTTAGTACAATAAAAATCACAGGGCTGGCTGGGCATGGTGGCTCATACCTGTAATCCCAGCACTTTGGGAGGCCGAGGTGGGCAGATGATGAGGTCAAGAGATCGAGACCATCTTGGCCAACATAATGAAACCTTGTCTCTACTAAAAATACAAAATTTCACTGGGTGTGGTGGCACAGACCTGTAGTCCCAGCTACTTGGGAGTCTGAGGCAGGAGAATCGCTTGAACCCGGGCGGTGGAGACTGCAGTGAGCCAAGATCACGCCACTGCACTCCAGCCTGGTGACAGAGTGAGACTGTCTCAAAAACAGGAAAAAAAAAATCATAGGGCTAATGGGAAACATTTTATCACATTCATTATGTTCACAAGAACTGTCTCCTGTGTAAGTTTGCTTATATGTAATGAAAACTGCCTTTCCATGGAAATCCTTCTCACATTACTTAAATTCAAAAGATTGCTCTAAATTTTGGATTTTCAGATATGAAATGAAGTCTTCCGTATGAATGAAGCATTTTCCATTTTGAATAAACTCAAAAGGTTTCTCTTCTATGTGCATTTTTTCATGGTTACTACTGAGGAACAGTTTTCCATATGCACTGAGGTCATGAGGCATCTTTCTTAAATAGTTTTTCTTACTATGAAATAAATCTGAAATGTATTGCAAACTCATATCACATAATTCACATTTACAAGATATTTTTATGGAAGTGGGTCTATGCTGAAATTGAACACTTTTCCTAATACGTCACCTCTCTCTCTATAGTCAGTGTTTTGTTGTTGATATAGGGAGCTTGCCAGATATATGTCTGTCCTGAATTTGACAGCACTCTACTTGGTCATCAACTTTGCAGACTTCTAGAAATAAGAAAAAATAACCATAACTTATGAGTCCTGCAATATTTGTGACAAAATTACACTTATAAACAAATGTGTTTTGACTTAGTTTCCTGGAATAAAGTAATCCAAAAAGTATTAATCTCCTCCAGTCCTTGGTTAGAAGAAAACAAACACAAAACCTTACAATGTGGAAAGTAGGGTGAAAATTTAAAGCAGACACACTAGGCAATTTACAAATATATAATTTGAGACAACACAGAGGTTACAAATAACCACAAAGCACAGTGAATACAGAATAGACATAAGTAAAAATGATATAAAACATTAGATGTAAACCAGTAGCTATAAAAGTGATATTAAAAAGATATAAAATAAATAATATAAACAAATATAAATATGGCTAATTTATGACATGCAGATAATGAGGGGGCAAGGAAAACTAGTAGTTAAGAGTGTTCTAGAAAAATATCAGAGGAATGGTTTTATTTGAATGAAATACATCAAGCTTTAAACAGTGTTCTTCTATTGCTTGAACCTGGGAAGTAGAGGTTGTAGTGGTTAGTATTTCAGGTAGTGTGAGTGGAAAGTAAAAATATAAAAATATTTAGAAGACAGTTTACAGAAGTGAAACAATAATACTTTTTTTTTTTCTTCTTCTTTTTTTGAGATGGAGTCAGGCTGGAGTGCAGTGGCGTGATCTCAGCTCACTGCAACCTCCACCTGCTGGGTTCAAGCAATTCTGCCTCAGCATCCTAAGTGGCTGAGATTACTGGCATCTGCTACCATGCCGAGCTAATTTTTATATTTTAATAGAGACAGGGTTTCACCATGTTGGTCAGATGGGCCTTGAACTCCTGATCTCAGGTGATCCGCCTGCCTCAACCTCCCAAAGTGCTGGGATTGCAGGCATGAGCAACCACACCCACCCACTCCCCCCCCTTTTTTTAAGATGGAGCTCTGGTCAGTCACCCAGGCTGGAGTGCAACGGTACAATCTCAGCTCATTGCAACCTCTCCCTCCAGAGTTCAAGCAATTCTCCTGCGTCAGCCAACCGAGTAGCTGGGATTACAGTTACATGCCACCACACCCAGCTAATGTTTTGTATTTTTGGTAGAGACAGGGTTTCACCACGTTGGCTAGGATAGTCTCAAACTCCTGACCTCAAGTGATCCACCCACCTCAGCCTTCCAAAGTGCTGAGATTACAGGCGTGAACCACCATGCCCGGCCCAACAATAAATATTTAATATTAAGAAAGGATGACAGAAAGAGAAAAATAACATTATGAGGTTCATTTGTGAGAGCAGCAGGTTTATAGAATGTAAAAAAAATATAAGTGAGGGAGATTTATGATTTGTCAGTAATTATTTTAGTTTTCATTCTTGCCATTTTGCAGGGATCAGAACATCCTCTCAGACTTCTGACTATGCAGGTAGAATCCTGAACTTTCCCCTGCACTCCCTTGCTCTCTCTTGCTGCCTTCTTAAGAAGGTGCCTGCTTCCCCTTTAC